GCTATATTTTTCCCTTTAATTAAATGGATAAAAATAAAAAAGTAAATAATGGAGTGGAGATTGAGAAAAAAGAGGGCATAACAGCGAAACAGGGCAGATCAAAACATAACCATTTAAGCAGAATAGTGTTTCACCACCAGATATTTCCGACCCAAAAGTAGTTACCATATTGACTCCCTCCCTGAAGTCCTTGAGTACAACTTCATATACTGTAGCATTAAGTATATCAAAACAATGTAAAACCATTTAAGAGAATGACAGCATTATAGAGTATTTAGAATTGACTAACAGAAAATGAACAATGGTCTCTGTATAATCTCCTTGTCTTTAAAAGGTTTTTGCTTATACTATCGTACATAACAAAATCCAATAAGATACAACCTGTTTAGACCATTGGAGACAGAAGAACAAAAGCTAGATGAGACTTCAAAACAAGATGGTACTAAATCAGCATTACCTATTAAGATGTCATTTTCTCCAAAATAGCTGTTCCTATCATCCAATCTTCTCTGTCTCATTTCTGTTGAGGTCTTTTTCTGTCAGTAGCTGTCAGTTTGTTTTCTTCATTTTGTTCTCTGCTCCATTCGTTGTGGCCTCCCCGCCACTATTTCTGGGTTCTTTGTATTTTTCTTTTTTTAGAATATCCTGCAATACTTTCTGTAGAGTTGAATTGGTGGTTGCAAATTCCCCCAGTTCCTCTTTATCCTGGAAGCACCTCGTTTTTCCATCAATTTCCAGGGACAGTTGTGCAGGATATCTCAATCTTGGCTGGAGATTATTATCTTTCAAAGCTTGAATTATTTCCCCCCATGCTCTTCGTGATTTGATGGTTTGTGAAGAGAAATCTGCTGTAATTCTGATGGGTGTTCCCTTGTAAGTGATCTGTTTCTTGTCTCTTACAGCTTTTAATATTCTGTTCTTGTATTGAATTTCTGGAATTTTTATTATTATATGCCTGGGTGTTTCTCTGTTAGGGTTGTAGGTAGCTGGGGTCCTGTATGCCTCATACATCTGAGTATCTTTACCTTTTGCTAAATTAGGAAAATTCTCCTGGATTATTTCTGTGAGTAGCTTTTGTAGTTCACTTGTTTGTGTCCCTACTTCTTCTTTTATGTTCTTAATCCTTAAGTTATGGCTCCTCTTATCATCTTCTTGTCTTTGTATTATTGCTGTTTGTTTCTTTGTTATTTTTAAGAAGTTTTTCATTTCATTCTCCCATGTTTCAAGTCTGCCCTCCAATTCAGATAGTCTGTCCTTAGTTTCTTTCAAGCTGTTATGCCAGTCTTGGATAGACTTCTTAATTTCTTGATAGTCCCTTTGCACCTGCTTCACATACTCAATGCTTTCTCTGTTTTCTCCATCAAGCAATTCTCCCCTCTTTTTCTGTTCTTCCATTCCACCATCTGTTTTTTCCTGGGTGGTGCTTAGCTTTTCTCTAACTATTCTGCATACTTCTAGCTTCAGGTCATTGATAACTTCATTCCTGAATTGGTCTATGAGGCTCTCTATATGGCGCTTAATGTATATTGGTGCGGTGTCCACTATTGCCTGTTTCTCAGGATTGGGGGCCGAGGAGCCTTTTTTGTTGCTTCCCTTCCCCATATTTTCTGTTCCTTATAAAATGCAAACTTACATAGGAGGCCCGGCTTCCCTGCCTGTCAGCCACAGCCTGATCAAATTGCGCTGGCTAGTTGTTACCGCCCACCGCTGCGCACCAGGGAGTTGGGGAGGAGGCAGCCTACGCAGGAGTCAGTCGCTCCTCCAGGCCACCGTCAGGCTCTGGGATCTGGGTTAGGCCAGCCTAGGGAGTCTGCCAGCAGCGTCACTCAGGCCAGGCACTTTTCACCAATCCCGTCCGAGAGGGAAATGTGTGGCTGGAGTTGCCACCGCGCCCTGCTCTTACAGGACTGTCTGAGCCCAGAAAGTCCTCCACTGGAGTCAGACTGTGGTAGGGGGTCAGTTTCTCTCACTCACCTCGCCACCAGTCAGTTTTCGTGTACGCCTCCTTGTCCGTCCTGTTTTCGACTCCATTCGCAGACTCCCGTTCCCGAGCTTCTGCGCGTCTCTCCTTGCCGAGCCGCTTGTGGAGGCAGTCAGCCGCCGGGCGGCGGGAAACCCAAATCGCGGTTTCCAATGGCGCGGGGTCGAGCCTCTACACCGAGTCTTTTCTGTTCCTATTTTAGCGCCAGGACTGTATTCTAAGTTGGTTTCTCTCAGCCCAGTTCATTCCTGAGTCAGCAGAGCATATCTCTACTGGTTCGTGTCTCCTTAGTCCGCATCATTCCTGGCCTCTGAGCCGAGCCTTTCAGAGAGCCTCCGGTAGTTGCTGTTGTCTGTCCGCCATGTTCTCCCGGAGTCCCCAAGCCTTCACTTTTTACTATGTGAGATTGCTTTCATAATATACCATGAGACTGGAAAAAATGTTTTCAACTTATCAAAGTAATACATACTCATCATAGAAAGCTTAGAAAGCAAAGGAAATTATAAAGAAGAAAAAAACTATCCATAGTCCTTCACCCCGAGGATAACCACTACCAAAATTTTGATTTTTTTTCTTTTCAGGTCTAAAAAAGCTATACTTGTATATCCACATCCATACTGTGACTCAAAGTTGTCACCTCTGGAAATTATGATGTCCTCAAGCAATGTTGCATTGTACAAAACTTTTTGGAAACTCTTTTGGAGCCAATTTAGGAGCCACATCCTCTGCAGACATTCATGCTCAGGGTAATTTGCAGAAACACAGCAAAGAGGGTGTGTCTGTTACTGAACATCTACTAAGACTGTGTGGGATGCATCTGAGTAGCTTGTGCCTCTTTGGTTGTGAGCTACAGCAGTGTAACCATCTTGCAGAAAATGCCATCCTTGCTATCTTCAAGAACCATTAGGCATCTTCTGCCAACTTCGCTTGCAGTGGGCAGTGGATTTGCCAAAATGTGGCTTCTTCCCATGTTAAATATTAATGGATATTTTTGGGTATGTTTAAAAGCCTTTATTAAAAATTAAATCTATAAATGTTTAATATCTTGAAAACTTGTTTATTACATTGTCAACCCAACGTTTGCTTTTTGTAGTACACAAAGAAAATTAAAGAATTGTTCTTGTCAAAAAAGTTTGAAAAGTATATTTTGAAGTCAATTCTTTTTTAATGGAAGTGTACATTCAATGAATTATTTCTCTCCAAGGAGTTTTTATGAAAGCAAATATATCTAAGTGTGATGAACTGATCCTTAAATAAAGTCAGAAGTGTCTTGTGTAGCAAGATGTCGAAGCATCAGTGTTTCCCAAATACTGTAAGGATGTATCACAAATGTGCATGCACACACACACACACACACACACACAAGATAAGATTTATTAAAGTCAGGAGTTAAACACCGAGTTCTTGTCTCTTCAACTTGTTCCATGTAAACAGCATTATTTTAGAAAACAGACTTTACCTCCAGTCCATGTATCTCCTCAGCTGTCCAGTTTTTGTCTTGTTTTTCATGAATCTCTTTATCCACCCCATCAGCTCGGCATGGTACCCTCTCTTATAGGCTGCTGCTCCCTGGGCACAGAGGCCTGAGTTGTAGGTTGGACAGAGTTCTTTCAGGCAGTTCCCAGGGCTCAGAGTGGGGCAAACAGTGTGAGCACCTGTCCTCTGGCTGCTTTCTTCCCTGGTCTTCTGATAGCCAAGGTAACAATGCATCACACTTGCAGAACTAATTACAGAATGTAGGTCGTGTTGTGTGTTGACAGCTTTGGCACCATCCTGATACCATGTTCAGTCTATGTTTATTGGGTAAATGAAGAACCAATAGTATAGTCTCTTAGAAAATAGACTTAGGAGAAAAAGTACTCTGATGGAAATAAAGTCAGAGTTGAAAATTATAATCTCAGGGCTTCAAAACCTGGAAGGTTTATTTCAGTGTGAAACCCAGAGATATCAGCTGAGGAAGTTACCTGGAGAGCTGGGGCAGAGCCAGGCCCAGCACTGGGTTCCTGAGGCTATGTTGTTTTTCCAGCTCTTCCCTCTCACTTGCTCTCCACTTATTTCATGGAAGCCAAGCTTCTGACTCCACAGGCTTGATGACCAGAGCATTTGAGTTCCCCGTGGTTCTTATTAGAGTTTTGGAGATGCAGGGATTCTTGAGATACACTTGAAGAGACGGTTGAGCAAGTGCGTGATGGGTGGTTGACAGATGACCACGGTGCCCCTCTGTCTCTAGTGGTGGTCGTCTAAGCTCCTGAGTCCTGTGGGGTTATGTGTGATCATAGGCACACTCCTGCCCAGTAGTGACACTAGCTGACATTTGTTTATAACTCATTAGGCAGGATATCACGTGGCTACCAGTCCACGCTGTAGGTTCTGATTGTCCCAGATGGAACTCCAGCTCTACCTCATCCCTGGCAAGTTTCATTAGACCTCTCTCTGTGCCTCTTTTCATGACATTTGTGGATGCCATTGACTGTAGGGTAGGGTGGCACATACCGATAATGCCAACACTTGGGAGTCTGACGCAGAAAGATTGCTGTGAGTTCAAAGCCAGCCAGGGCTACATAGTGAGTTCAAGGCCAACCTGGACCCTATCTCAGAAGAATAAAAAATAAGCCAATGATTACAGGGTCTCCTACAGACTATTGAAGGAGTTAGTCTACATCAACAGTGGCCTAGGACAATACTGGATACTTTCCAAATCAGCAATGAGCATTACATGTTATTGTTATTAAAGTATCACTGCTATATATGAGAAGTGTTAAACTCATTATGCACATTGTGTGTTACCATTAGCAACTTTGTGAAGAGGTTCCATTGTTGCCCCCTCTTGTGGCTCAGTACCTTGGGGCACAGAGCACTTCTCCACCTGCCCAGGCCACAGAACCATGACGATGCCGTGAAGGTCAGTTCCTTCTCTGCCAGACTCTGGATGCCATGAGTGGATGCCAGTGTGCTGGAAATGGATGATGAAGTTGCTGATGTGAGACCTGCCTAACCTTCCACTTTTCCTTTCTTCTAGAACATTCCGGAATCCATACTGCTTTCAGGAGCATCTCTAGGAATCCCCTGGTGAGTAATGATGGTCCTTTCATTCTCTATGGTGGCCTCCTGACACTATGTTGGGTGGCCTGTGCTGGAGCTGTCCTGTGTTGTGAGTGTGTGGCTGAAAGACCCTAGGTCAGTGGCCCTGAGGTTGTGTCCCCCCACACTCCATGCTTTGATGCTGGAGGGCGTCCTGCCTGTAAAACACTTTAGAGTTCCACAGTAAGAATAGAGAAGGGGCAGGGAAAGGTCTTTTGTAGAACTGTCCCTGATTTAGAAAGACTCTAGAGTGGCTCAGCTTGGCATCCTTGCAGTGACAGGCATTTTTGCCCTTGTCACTGTAGCTAGTGAGTCCAGCAGGCTGACTTGTGGCCTCCACATTATGGCACCTGGTCAGCCTGGAGAACATGAGGAAGTACGCAGCCTTGGAGGCAGCCAGCCTAGCTTTGCCTCCCGTACCTGTTGCCTAAGAATCATGCGGTCTTCAAACCCCACTTGCTTGAGCTTCAGTCTCTTCTCTGACATGTGGATGATTATGCCCATCTTTGAGAACTGTTGGATATATTATGCTTATATAAGTAGGAAACTTACACCACATTGATATTCAGTAAAATGTAACTATTACTGTTGTCTGTTACTAATACCCAGATAGATATGTCAGAAGTTTATGCTGGACACAAAGCAAGTTGTTGATTTAGGTTGCTACAGTCTTTGAAATATTTTTGTTGCCTCCATGCCCACCCCCAACAGTCTGTATTCTTTGTGAAAAATACCATTTTTGGTCCAGATCCTGTCAAAAATCATAAATTACAAATCAAACTAGTCCTAATTAATGAGGCCTTAGTGCCTCCTGGATATTTCTATCAAAGTTTAATCTAACCCAAAATCTTTTGCCATCACAATGGAATTTTAGCAGTAAGATAGCTAACTTTTTGAAAAAAGTCATTCACTTTGGTGGGAATCAGTGTATTCCATGAATGAAGTAGAGTGTTGAATTCCCTGGTATCCCAGTCACCACGAGAACACTTTCTTTATAGTTGTTAAAAGAGCCTGATAATAAAAACAGCTGATGGGTTTTTCCATCTGTTTCCATATATGGAAACCCATATATGGGTGCATGCACACATGCATGCAAACACAGATGAGTTGTTTTTTTGGTCAGGCAACTGAAGAATTACTGTGTAATCTGGAGCAGCCTTCTTCCATCAGACAAGCAAGGGCACAGCAATTCCTGTCTCCTCAGAATGTATACTAAGCAACCAGACATCCTGATTATTCTGCTGGGAGGCAGCAGCTTGATGGAAAGATGCACCAGTTGAAAACAATTCTGATCATAGTTTTGTCAGGAGAGTGAAAGCCCTCCAGCCACCTGTCACTAATCAAACCAGAGGTAGAGAGCAGGAATGCCGTGGCCTGTAGAGCTGATCTCATCTCAGGTTGGAGCACTGTTCTTCCAGAGCAGTGACATTAGACATCCCCTTTGTGACTGGTCTTGCTAGTTAGTAGTAGTCTAAAACATATGCCATGTGGGCACACTTTAGGGATTTTCAAATTACAATTCAAAGGCTTCACTGTTATCTTTTTATGCTTCTACTGCAGAAATCACTGATCCAAATGATTCTCCCTCCACATAACCCTATTGCCAGCAGTTACAGGAGACATAGTCACAGAAGAGGTATCAGAATTCAATTAGGAAGAGGCCTGTCCCATGTGGACACATAAGCCATATAAATCCATTTTAATTGCGAGCTGTGGTACATATCTGGTCATGTTTATTTTGGATGCAAGTGCCATAGCTGGATTTGGACCAGAACTCCAGATCTTTGAGCCCTAATGACTAATTTGGGTACCCATTGAATCCCTTAATTCATTTCTTAATTAGTTCTCCCAGAATTAGAGTTGCTTGATTATAATCATTTTCACAAATTTCTTATAAAGCAAAACAATTGTACTTCCCCCTGAAGTTCACATCTTTTTCCCTAATCTTAAAGAACTATTCTTGTTATGGAAATAACAATAACAATGTCAACAACAACACAGCATACACAAATAGTACCATGCTAAGCTAGGGAGACTGCAGGCAGTGTGGCTTGGGCACTGCTTCTGCTCTGCATAGCTGTGGGGCCATGGCCACACTCCTGTCCTTCTGTACCATAGTTTGTGAAAGGGAAGTGCAGCAGGACCCATCTCCTCAAGGGGTCTGAGGAGTGAGGAGCTGCTCAGTGTGAGAGTGGTCTGTGTGCCCACGCTGTCCTGTGATCCACTGTGTCTGCTTGGGTGAGGTGGGGTGGGCCCACAGTGCAGTCCTGAGTGTGGCCCATCTGAATTTGGAATTAGTCTTTATTATTTGGATTTCTCCTTAATTTGCCCACAGAATTATCTTCTTTGGCTTTCCAGCCTTGATCAGTGTTAACTTGAAAGCTTTTTGGTGCAGAATTGCTTTAAAATTTGAAAGAACATCTTATTCTCTCAGTGTACACAATAGTGATTCATTAAAAGTAAAAAAAATGTGAAGGTAACATTAAAAATGAGATAAAAGGGGGAGAGAGTTTTGGCATATTACTTTTTAACAGAATACCATTTAATATTTTTTGTACTGGGAAATGAACTCAGAACATGTGTTTACCAGGCAGGCACTCTGCTACTGAGCCATATCCCCAACCCTCCATTTAATATTTTAGTTTATAGTTAATGAATATGCAGAAGTCAAAACCCACAGAAAGATAAAGCTAGTAATTTTCTCTCTTCATGGCTATATAAGAGTTAATATTAAAAGTACTGCCAAAAGATACATTGGGGTTACTTTCCCTTAAGCTTTTTAAAACTCTGTGAGCTATCTGTGTGTATTCTAGAAAAACGTATGCTTTGGTGTACCCAGACATATGTGCAAAGTGTAATCATACGCTAAATTACTATTATGCAATGAAGAATGGACTGGAACTGCACAATGACATAGATGTATCCTGTAGACATAATGTTGAAAGAAAGAACATAACAAAAGAATAATACATAGCAATCGTATTATACTTATATGAAGCATGAAAATCAACAACACTAAACTTTATTGCTACTTGTACATCCATTAATTAAGTAGCTAAAAGTCTACAGAAAAACAGGAAAGTTATTACTGAAAGAATCAGGCATTGTGTAGTGGTTACCCTTGAAGGAAGAACCTGGAAGTTAACTAGATGCAAGCATTAGAAATTTTTTAGTTGTAACTCACAAATTAGCAGAATATTTCAAAGGTTCTGCAGAGGATTCCCAAACAGATAATTTTAATACTGCAAGCAACAAAAATGTCAAAGCTTGTGTGAACTCTCTGTCAGCCACTTAGTGAGACTGTGGCAGTGACCACCGGGTCACATCAAACAGGAAGTTGGCAGGTGGTCCTGAGTCACCCGGGGACATAAAGATGTGTTTCTGCTGTGGCTGATCCCAAGCTTCACCCCCTGCACATTCAATGGAAGTCTCGAGACTGGCAGACACCGTACCTATTCTGTCTTCTCCTCTGTTCGTATCCATCTTTCATGAGATTCACAGCATGTGAATGCAGCAGGATGCGTGTACACTGGGGATGCCCATTTAGAACATGAGATAAAAATGACTGGGGCATTAATGTCACATGGTTCAAAAAAACATATGGAATATGGTAAATGCACTGCTTCTTTAAAAAGGCACAACTTAGCCCTAGTTTCTTTTTATTGGTGAATATCAGTACTGAGGCATTAGTTTATATATTTTACTGCCTTAAAACTTTTCCCAAGGTATTAGGTTAGGATTAGGGTAAAAGGAGGGAGAACTGTGCCCCCCCCCAGTAGCTTTGCTCTTTGGTCTTATTTATATTCCTATAAGAGTCCCCTTAACTAAGAATTCTACTTGGGGGAAAGAAAAGGAAAACAAAAGTTGAGCACCATCAGATCGACTTCCCCAGGCAGGGCAATGAAAGGTGCACGCTGACATGCTCACCAGGCACTTGGTGGGCTATGTCCCACACCTGGGCCTTCCCTGGTGGTGGCAGCCCCAGCACAGCCTCAGTGCCCTCTGAGCTACTGTCCTCTGCACCCTGTGTGACAGCAGCAGCCACCCACCCCACAAAGGCCACCTGAGCGAGAACATCGCTGAAATGGTGTTTGCCCCAATGCAAGAATTGTGGTGGTTTGGTCCCTTACCTCTTTCTTTTAGAAGTCTTGATGTCCTTAACTGACAAAGTTGTTTTGATTGTAAGCAACAGAAAGTGACTGGCTAGCTGAAAAGAAATTCTTTAAAATGTTTTCCCTGGGAGGATCCTGGGAGAGGTTAAACTGAACCATAGCCACCTGAGGGGCAGCTAGGGAACTCGTGCAGCCCTGGACCCTTCTCCAAGACAGCGCTGTGCTGTGGGGCGGCAGCAATGACCTGCGTCCTCTGCGCTCCAGGTTCTCAGGATGGAGGCACATAGAAGAGAGTTTAAGCCAGCCACTATCTGGCCGATCACCTTGGTTGAAGGATCATAGGATGGAGGTGATTCCTGGGAGCTGTAGCCCTGTGTATCTGGGCTAGCTCAGAAAACCAGGGATGCCTAGGAGTGTTATTTATGACTGGCATTGATGTTTGGGACAGATCAACCAGTGTCCTGTAAAGAACTTCCACAATAATAATGAAAGGAATGTGATATAGGCGTATAAGAGGTGACTGCAAATACAGAAGTGCATTATAACATTGTCTGATAACTGTCCATGTCACCTTGCTGAACTGGACTTCTTGTGTTCTTCTTGGGTTGGGCTCTGGACTTGAAATTATCATTACTAGCTGCTGGAAAAGTCTCTGTAGGTCCCACAGAGCTTCCTGTGCTTCTCTACAGTTTGGCTTTACTTCTCCTTTTCCTATTGATTCACCTCTTATTAGAAAGCATTAGATCAATTTGAGCATGCCTAATGATGATAGTCTCTTCACTAGCAGACAGACTTGCCCTAAAATTTTATACTAAGGGAATGAAGATAAGAGAGGTTCAGAGCCTACATACTACAGGCAAGTCGTCGCATCATTAA